GGCTTCATCCTGGCTGCAGGGCGGAGAGAGGGAATCACATAGCAATCAATTAAAGATGCTGTGAATGGGCAGGCCAACGGCAAGCCGCCGTTCGAATCTACCTTCGTGCCCCCCAACACACACCCCGGACCCCCAAATAACTGCCATGAAGTCAATGCCACTCACAGTGACCTGACAGGGCAGGATGGGACTCCCCTGTGGGTTTCAAAGCTTGTAACTCTCTGTGGCCGTAGAAAGCATGCGGTTTAGAATTGCTCATGGGGCCCAGTGCATATGCCACTAGGCCTCCTCTGGTGCCCGTTGGGGGCGGGGACCTGGGCACCCATTCATTGGCATGGAGTCAAGGAGAGGGGACAGCCGCCAAGGACGCTGTCTATCTGTCACAGGGCCCACGGATGACAGACACCCTGGCACACAAAAGCATCCACCCTGGATGCCCTTTGAAGGCTTTCTGCGAAGCGTAGCTGCTTCAGCCTACGGGGCCTGGTCGTGCAAGGGTTAAGGGCTCCTCCGATCACCCAGGTCCAGGCTGCAGTCTGCTTTTAGAAAGACAGCCTTAGAAACTGGGCAAGGGGCTTCCAAACTCCGTCATCCTTCCATGGTTTGCTCAGTCAAAATGGACTGGAGGGCAATGGTGGTTTGTTTTCCTTTGTTTGGGGTTTTGTTTCAATTAACGCTAATTAAGCACCCGTCTCTTGCAAGAACCATTCATCCTTTTACTGCTTTTTCCCCACTCTGCCTTTCTCATCCTTGCCCCAACATCTTAATTAAAAAAACAAAAACAAAGGTGATTTCGCAACTGGCCGCATTTGTTCAGTCAGTGCACAGATGGGCACTTGGTGACTGGGGAGAAAGATGGGGGTCTTTCCACACAGGGAGAGAGTTATAGTCTTGGAACTGACAGGGGCAGGTCTGGCCTCTCCTCTAGTCCCTAAAGAGTCAGTATTGCCTCCATGGCCGTGAGTTTGCTTTGAATTTTTTGAGAGCAAATTCCAGGCGACCTGTTGACATAGTGCTTATGCCTGGGGCTGCTCACTGCAAGGCCAGGAGTTCAAAACCACGCGCTGCTCCACAGAGACAGAGGAGGCTTTTCCCTCCCATATAGCCTCAGGAACTCACAGGGGCCAGTTCTACCCTGTCCCATAGCGTCGCTGTGAGTTTGGGGTGTTTTGGATAGCAACAAATGCAAATGAACTGCAAATATAAATACAAATGAACTGCACATATAAACCCATAGGGGTTCTTCGTCCTGTGCCCCATC